CGGGCTTTGTCGGGGCTGTGGGCAGAGAGGGAATGGGCGAGACACGGTTTGGTCCGGAGCGCTGGGAAGGGGGGCTCTTGGTCACCCGCTGGGTGCCGCCGGGGTTTGATGGCGATGCCTGCGATGGGTGCTCTGAAGTAGATGTTGTCCGTGCTTGTGGCACTGTGCTACCCACAGATACCCTGAGATGACGAGAAAACAGTGCAGGCTAAGAGAGTGCTTAGAAGACAACACATTCTTCATAAAGTCTTATTTTGGTCTAACAGTTTATTTTATTTTGGAAAATCACCTTGTTTTTTCTTTTCGTTTTCCACCAAAAGCAGGAAAAGTAGGCCAAATACATATTTTTGTATTATTTTTGTCTTATTTTGGTCTAACAGTATATTTTATTTTGGAAAATCACCTTTTCTTTCTTTTCGTTTTCCACCAAAAGCAGGAAAAATAAGCCCGATGCAGCTTCCTCTGCTCTCATTTTCTGGCTCATGGGTTGTGCTATTTAACAGGCGGTATTAAGGAGCTCTTTCAATGTGTTACGTCAGGATTGGGGTTTTTTCCTAAAACATTGTGGTTAAATACGGTCCTTCTTTAAATAAATAAATAACGGCTGGGCTATCATCGTGTCCGAGGGTTTTCAAGAAAATTTACATTTTGAAAGACACTGTTGGAGGCTAACACGGCCATGCAATTACTGTATGTAAATCACTTCACTTGTTTCCTAATCTTGCTGAAGATGAAGTACAATTTTTTGTGTGTGCGCCTCTCTCTCTCAAATTTCCTTATACAATGAGGTTTTCTTGTTATTTTAATTGCTGACCATGATTTTTGTTCTGCCGAGCCTGATTGTATTTATTTTATTGTGGGGGACATTTAGCCTTGCAGTTGTTTTGAGATTGAGTTGGAAGGAGAAATCACTGAGGACAGATTGAAGTTGGGTGCGCAACTAATTGCATCCTCCATCCTACAAATGAAGAACTGCTATATTAATTACAGCTTCGTCCGAAGGCTGGGGAGTACCCGCTCGTTTCTGTGCCCCGCACATCTGCTTTTCTCCATTTCATCCATCCCTGCCAAATCCAGCTCGGCAGCCCCTGCCACATTTTTAATAAGTCTTCTGAGTTGGGCTTTGATTGCTGGGTGATGTCGTCGTGGACACCTGTCAAACAAAGATGGAATGGTTAACGCCGTTAGGAAGGAGTTCACTCGCGGGCGTTACATTAAGCTGTGTGGGATTCTGATAATACGAGCAGTAATTTCTCTGATTGTTATTAGTTTCTTTTGTAGAAAGTTTTCCTCCAGGGAGTAATGCAGGGGATTGAGACAGCAGGAGAAATGAACTTTAATGGAAGCGTTCGTCCATCAGAAAATGCACTCTGTCAAAATTAAATACACTTTGCATATTGATTTTGTTAGGGGAAAAGAGTTGCAGCCCCAACATAATGAACCATTTGAGTATTTTCAGAACAAAATACCAACTTACTTCCTCCTGGTGTGACTTTTTTATAACCTGGTGTTTCTCCCTGAAAGTGGAGTGGGATGTAATAGAGGTAAAAATCCGTGTGTATACTTTTAGATGTTGATCCTGGAAATGCTGTTAGCTACTCTGGCTTTAGCTACACTAACAGTTTAATTTTTGTTATAAGAAAAATTTTGACTGTAGCAAGCTTCTGCCTCTGGAATGGAAGTTTTCTGCTTCTTTTAGAATGTAGTATTAATTATTAATGTGAGTGGGAATCGTGCTCTTTAGCATCCCTGTGTTTAAAAAAAATCAATTAATTATTGCTATAAATCTCAGAGATTATGCTGCAGTTGCGCTGCTGGGAAATTGGCCATTAACTACCAGGAAATCGCCTATCTTCCCTTAGTCAGAATTCAGTTGTACCAACACAACCCTTTTCCTTTTATAAATGAACTATCAATGCGATGCATAATTGATAACCATTTAGAATAATAACAATAATCTCCGGTGAAATTGTCGTCTCGGTGTGCAACGGCTTTGTTAGAGCCTTCACCTCTCGCACGCTCAGCCTCGCCTGTTGCGCTGGTTAACTGTGTTTTCTGGGAAGTCACTGCGTCACCGGCGTGGTTTGAGGCGAGCCGTGCGCTGTTGTAGAGGAATAAAATGCCAGGTGGAAACGCCTGACCGGGCTGTGCGGGTATGAAGAAGCTGAAGGGTTTCGAGAGGATGGGTTAAGTGCTGCTGTCGCTGCTCTACGGAAGGGGAAGCAGAAGTCGAGGTGACGGACGTTGCCCCAGGTCAGCTTTTGGACATCAGCCTGGATTTCCCTGGGTCGTGGTGTCCTCTTCTGTGTGTCCCATAGGATGGGAACCTGTCATTTTTTTAGTTTGTCGTGAAAATTTTGTTTGCAAATAACGCGGCGTGAGGATTCACCTGCCGTGGAGGAGCTGTTTGGGGGTCGGTCTGGACGAGCGGTACCAAGTTAGTAGTTATTGGTGGCTTTTCAGAATCTGGGGTTTCTTTTTAACCCTTTCTAATACTTTGTAGGGAGAGTGGTTGAGACTTTGCAGCACGATACAGTTGGCCACTCAGGAGAGGATTTCTTGCTGTGCTTGCGCTCTCGCCTGTCTCCCTCTTCCCCTGCTCTCCTTGCAAGGCCTCCAGAAGCGTGGTGGTGTTTGGCTTTGTTTCTAGAAATCACAGCTTTCCGCTAATTCTGCTCTTTTGGTGCCTTGGAGTGAGCTGAAAAGGGTGGTGAATGGCTGGGGGGGAGAGCGCAGGAACCTCTGCAGCAGGATCCATCCCTGGGAGGTTTGTAGCTCTTATCAGGGTCAGCAGTCTTCACCTTAAAATACTCAAGAGGGTATTGAATCACTGGTAGTACAGCATAACTCGGTAAAAAATCAGTGCATGGTTTGAGTTCAGTTGTCAGCGTGAGCTCTGGGGCATGTCTTGACTCCTGGATGCTGTTGTGGGGCTCGCTTTGGGAAGCCGGTAGCCGGGTTTCGTTGGGTGGAAGGTCGGGGTCTGCAGCCTGAGCTCCGGTCGGAGCGTTCAGGGATTCAGGGAACCTTTGGCCCTCTGTAGGAACGAAAGCAGCAGACCTGAGAGGATCCCATCAGGGTCTTGCTCTGTGTCACCAAACTGCAGAAAAGTCTGCAGCTGTGGTCCCCTCGCTGGGCATTGGTTATAAATCCGCCGCACAGAGTGCTTCATGAATTGCTTTATTTCATCGGTGTTTGAAAGCGTGCATGCTATAAACAGCTCTGGCTCCCATAGTTTAATGTTGGCCCTTCAAGGATGAAGGTAAGGACAGGCTACGGTGACAGCTGGAATGTGTATCAAGGTCTAGTTGCAAATTCAAGGTCCATTGATGACTTTTACAGGGCAAGGCTTAAATAAGACATGAAAGTGGTTTGTCTGTGTGTATGTGTGTGAAAGTGCTGGAAGAGGAAAAGCTACTTTCCATTTTTTTATGGACTCTCCAACAATCTTTCGGTGTCTGTGTGCCTACAAAATAGCTTAATGGATTTTATTTGCTAGGAATAGATTTTTAAGAGAGAAATAAAACTGGGAAGGCCATGCAGCGCTTCGGCAGCTCGTGCGTACGCTGCTGTTTTTTCTGATCGCAGGGAAGGTGACGGGGCTGGCAGCTTGATCTGCTGTCTGAGATGCGTGACCGGTGGGACGCTGGGGCTGGCAGCGCTAAACTCGCAGGTGGCCGTGCAGAAGCCTTCTCTGCTGTTGGGGACGGGCAGGTCTCACCTGGTGTGCTGCAGGTCCTCATGAAGCCTTTCGTTCTTCCGCAGGATCGACAGTGGCGGTATGCACGCCGATTCCTGGGAGTTTCCCTAAGTTCCTGAGGGACTGCTTTGCTCTTTGAATCAGAAAGTTACAAAATACCGTCAAGAATGGCACTTGTGGATAAACACAAAGTCAAGCGGCAGCGACTGGACAGAATTTGTGAAGGTAAGAGTGTGCTCCAGTTTTTCCGTAAATGCTGACACATGGTTAAGGCAGAATATCTGTTTTTTCCGTGTTTTTTTACAGTGCTTATACACAAAGAGATCCAGATCCAGGACTAGATCCCCTGTCCTCTGTGCTGGCTCAAAATACAGTCATACTGTTGTTGAAACATTGGGAAAGGAGATACCGGTTACTTGTTGGAAAGTCAGCTATAGTCCTGTGAACAGGACTTTTGTTTTAATTACCAGGTCTTCTCCTTTGCTCCTAATTTCTACTGAAATCATCTAGTCAGTCCCGATTTGAAACACAGCTTAAATTTGCACTGTCTTTAGAAAAGAGTTGCGCTCTGTGAAGCGTGCTGCTTCCTGGAGGTCTCCTCCGGCCAGAGAAAGAGCCGGGACACAGCGGCTGGTGCCGTGACTCTTCCCCCCCTTTCCACCCCACGCGGTGCTGGTTGCAAGACCAGTGTCACTCGGGGAGCGAAAGGAGATGACCTCCTGGACTATTGACTATCATCCTGTAAGAAGTAGATGGAAAACTTGGAAGTTGTTGTTGGGGTATTTCTTAAAGTTTGGGGGGCACGTTGTCGGAACAGCTTTTGTTCCGTTGGTGTGTGGCGATGAGGCAGGTTGGCTGTAAGCCATTCTTTGCTAATAGTATGTTACAGTGTCACAGCAAAGGTGACTTCAACCTTCTATTATTTCAGTTTTCCAGCAGAGAAAGTTTTTAGGTACCGTTTTCTATTGCGGCTCACATCGTGTAAGTTATTTACAACAGAAATCAAGTGATGGCAAACAAGCTCTTGACTTCTTGGCGTACACGTCCTGTGTAGACCAATGCTTGTGCAAGTTTTACCATCAGTGGCAAAAGCAGAACAGAGTGTTCTTTTAGGAAGAATATATTAAGTTATGTCTTTCAAAGAGTTCCAATGTTCATCTGCTCGTAAGGAGATGAATAGTAGCCTGCAGGGTAACAATTTGCAGTATAATTTGGATGCCAACAAGGTGAAATAGGTTTTGCTCATGGCTGAGAGTGCAGAGCTCACAGGGGAGTTGTGCTGCGTCCTTGCGAGCAAAATGTGTGGGGCTCTGCGGAGTTGCCAGTGAGTGTAAAATGCTGATCAGCAGGACAGCGTGGTTTTTGCCGTGGTGTGTGTTATATATTGCTTACTCTAGCATGTCAAACTGACACTCCTTTGCTGTTGCTTTAAACTTGTCGAGAGTTACTTAGCTCTATTAGTTTTGCTCTGTTAATTTTGGAGGGGGCAGGCAAAGCAGAGGAGATGAGAGCTGGGGAGGAGCATCCAGGGTACGCTGCAGCGTGGAGCTGCATATTTCTCCTACTGAATGTCATAAACACTCAGGTGTAGCACGCTATCTCATCTTCAAAATTTGCTTTGAACTTGACTTAAAAGAGTTGTGTCAGCTGAGCCTGGATTTTCAAAAGCTGCCTTCCCGGTTTGATGTTTACTATCGGATCTCGTTGCTGAGTGTACAAGAAATTCAAAAGGATCGCACGACAAACCTGCTAACAGAGCTCTAGATGTGATTGAAGTTTAGATTACTTTCCTCTGATATATGAGCTTTTTTCTTCTTTCTTGGTCAAAAGATATTTTCTAATCTGTAAATGTGCAGAAGACGTAACTTTTTAAAGTATACTTTGTCATTTGCCACTTGTTTTTGTGATTTGATTGAACTGATGGGATTCGCCGTTGTAAGACACTGTGGTGTTGTGTTTATAAGCAACAGATTTAAGACTGAGTATAAGCAACATGGTAAAAATTACCTTGAACAATGCGAAAAGCTTAGGATTTTGCAAAATACTAGACTTGTAGGACAGCGGTCTACTGTACTGGCATCTCTGATGGCTATTTTTTATCATAGGCTTGTAATCTTGGATTAGAGCATAGTGAAGTACTGAAGAGGGGCCATTCCAGGGGCTGTGAAAACACACTTTGAAAAAAAATGAGCATTTCTCTTGGTCTTGTCTTGAAAGATATATGGAATAATTGGTGAAAGATGATGAGAAATTAGGGAGCTACTTCAGCAGACTGATGAGAGGAGTGTTTTCTAACTGAATGGTGTTCAGTGAGAAGACTCTCTACCGCTCCGTCAAGCCAAGCGCAGCGTGGTCCCAAGAAGTCGCTTTTAATGAGTTCCTGTTCTGTGGAAGCACCTGGGCAGCTTTTCTCTTCAAACAAGCGGACGGGCTACAAACCTGCATTTACCTGATGAAAAGCTCAATGCCTTGTAGCACATAGGTGGATTTCTGTGCTTTTCGTGGAGTTGCGTATACTCTACCATCCCTTTTACTATTCGCAGCACAAGCCCTTGGAGAGCTTGGTGGGAACGGGCTTTACTCCACACAGCAGGATGGTGGCAGGTCTGGAGGTGAAATGTCCTCAGGCTGCGTGTTGTGATCGCTAGCCCCACTGCCAGACGATCACACTTCGCTCTTCAGGTCTTCCTTGTGCCGTAGGAACTGCCACCGAAGGCGGCTTCTTCGTGTGGGCTTACTGAAAACGTGTTGAGGGAAGTAGCTTACAAACTGCCCCAGTATTAAAAGGGTTTATTAAGAGACTGCAGTGTTTGTATGACTCTGTTAAACCTGCATCCGGCACGGAAAAATAATCCAAGCCATACCAGGGGGGGATATCTTTGAAAATGCCAGCTCGCAGCCAGTATAGGCAGGTTTAGGAGTCTGCTAGGGAGAGAAGCAGTTCAGTCGCAACTCATTACTCAGCTTGACCAGTTCCTCTGGGTTTTTTTTAATATATAGTTATGACATCTTTGCATGAGAGCGCTGCTTTTCCCTCTGAGCAGGCTGTTTTGAAGAGGTGAGCTTTTTGCACCGGGTGACGGATTTTGGTCTGTGAAAAAATAGAGGTGGGATAAAAGCGCAGGCATGAGGGGATAAAGAAATTTTATAAAGACATTTAGAGCTGTTTGTTCGGAAGGAAGCGGGTTTGTGACACCCGTCCGAGTGAAGCTCAGTCAGAGTGTGCTGGCAGCGCTCTTGGCATACCCCGTTCTTTCTTTGCTGGTTGTCCCGGAGAGTTTGGGTGCCGATCTGTAATTGGATCCATGTGGGTGGAAAGATGTATCCAGTGAATGGCTGAGGCTTTTGAAAATACTAGATGTGGAGTGGTTTACAGAATTCCTGTTTGTGGAGTTGTGTCTAATTACGTAGCGGGTCAAAATATGCTTTGGAGGCGGAGCTGCTGGTGCTGCGTTTAGTTAGACTTCCCCAGCACCCCCTAGTTCAGATCCTGTTCCCATCAGCTTGTAATTTTGCCACATTTTGTATTTGTTGGAGCTGAAATTTTCCATTCCATGATGAGTTCTTACCTCGGGGTGAATTAAAACAAAACAAAAAAAAAGTTCCAGCAAAACTTGTGGAGCAGTAACTGAGTGGGAG